AATACTTGCTAGACATTTTATAGACAATATAAAAAACACAATTTAGCAAGTTTAGAAATTATAAGGTATTGTTATAGTCTTGTTTAAAAATCAGCTAATGTTAGAACAACTACAAATTGCTTACAGATATATCAAGATTTTTGAATAGAATGTCTTTTCTATTGCATTGAAATAAAAATAAAGTTAAAAAGGTTCAAAAATCAGGATTTTATCTGGTGCAATTTTATAAGAACTTAAAATACTTACATGTTTTTACACCATAAATATGGTAACAGGAGCTCAACATTTTTCCACTTTTTGTGGAAACACAGAAATCATATTCTGTTCCCGCAGTAAGGTTTTCAATTGTTATTTTACCATCACTTTTTAAAGTGAATGTTGCATTAGGTCCTTCTTTACTTGTAACATAAATGCCATCAAATACTCCAATATCAGGCATGCGAACAAATAGTACCACAGCATTGCTATAAAGCCCATAAGGAACTACAATTTGAACAGGCTTGGGCTCTAAAAGAAAAAAAAGAAAAAAAAAATTGCCACATGTTAAATCAGTTGAAAATAAATTAAATGAAAACCACATAATGAATCTGAAGCAACCACCCTGAGAAATATGCAAAAACTAACAGCTATCACAGTAAAACATCACTGCTCAGAAACGAAGAACAACCTGATCTTTTAAGTGTTTATTACTGGAACTACCTTCTCAACCACAACTGCACTAGGAAGGTAAGCAGGATAGCTGGAAAAATATACAGAAATGCAAATATGGACAGGGAGATGACCGTGGAGAATGAGATATGTTTGATGGATACAACACTGACGTGTTTAGTTTTCCTTCCTTACAGTTGGCTCTGACAGCTGTGAAATATCCCATCTAGAATTTTGTCATCTGTGTCATGAATGAAGTATTAAACCTAATCCTATATAAAAAATTCTGAAAAAAGATCAAGACTGCTACCCTCCAAAGTACTGTAATCATTTAGGAAAAAAAAATGACAATGCAGCATTTCATGTATCTATAATCTGACAGCTGTAGCCTTTAAATACCACTTGAATACCAAGTGAATCTTGCCCATTCCTTTCACATATGCAAAAAATTTAAACTGCACCAAAAGCATTTCAGCATTTTGGTAAACTAAGACCCTTCAATAAACCCTTCCCTACAGATGGGGAAGACCCTTTGATAAACAATGTAAAGTTTTTACTTTTCACCTACTACTACTTCTACTCTTTCTACTCCTTTCCTACTGCCCTCTCACTAATGGTAGGGCAATTTCTTTCTCACAGTTCACAGAACAACTAATGTATCTCCAAAAATAAATAGGCTGTTTCAACCATTCCAGTATTTTCCTATTTCAATGCAAATCAATGATTCACTCAGTTTCTTCTGCCAGTTGTAACGGGATTTCCAGCTATGGTCCTCACTGCAGTTGTCACTATTACCAATGTGTTTTCCAAGGCTGTACCCTCCTTGCGAAAATTGTTAGCTTTTCTGTTAACAACTAGGATTGGATCTGTACATTTTATATTTTAGTTTTGATCCTTGGGTATTTAGCAAATTGATTTGATCGACAAAATCTGTTAGACGTAGCAACAATAGTTAGACCGATGTGTGTTATAGTCTGTAGTTTCCACCATAAACAATATCTTACTTAAAGTGCATTGAATGGTCTTCAGTTCACTCACAGTTCCATTATTCACACTTGCCACTGCTATTTCATAAGCCATTCCAGGAATTAGGAGATCAATCTTAAATTCTTCTGTATTGCTTAATATAAACTTTTTAGTTTCACCCAAGTCTGCATTAGGTTTCACTTGAATATAGGATTCCTGACACTCTTGTGGCAGCTTCCAGCGAAGGATCACACTCTCTTCTTGTACATCCTCTGGGTGAATATAAACAGCTGTCGGTGGACTGACAGCTTGATTAAAGAAAAAGATGTCAGTCTAAAACCATATATCAAACTTACAATCAATTTACAATCACTTTCCAATGATGTCTCTGGTTTGTTTTTTTCTTCTAAAATGTCATGATTTCAGAACTTATTTTTTAAAATGATTTACAGGCAGATTCTGTTTTCTGTTTTCTCATAACAAATGGAGACTTATTTTGCAAGCATATTCCATTCCACCAGATATATACAGAGTAAAAAGATGACACGTTCTGAGTCGCTGTATCTATTATTAGAAGAATAAATTAATCTGTGTTTTCACCTAAAAAAATTGAGAAATCACTCTAATGTTTCTACTTTGCTAAAATTAAAGACATAAATTACAAATCAGTATTTCTCAAGCAGAATGTCACTTCTTTATCTCATACTAATATGCTGTAAGTAGGTAAATTAATAAATAAATAAGGGTATCAGTATATTCACAATTTTGGAAGGTTCTGAAGAATATCCATCCCAACAACCATGATCTGTACAAGGCCTTAAAAATACCTTTATGTCTTGTATTTTCAAATTAAACTCCGTCTAGCAAAATAAAACATCTTAAAAAATGAATACATCACCTGTTTTGACTAATATAGGCTTCTCATGGCAGCTGAGAGTTCCTTTCTCTGCTACGTTCTGTAAATATACCTGATAGTGATGATAAGGTTTTATATTTCGTATGACTATTGAAGTCTTGCTTTTTTCAACTGGTAACTGTTCCCAGATGTTGGTTTCAGTATCCAACATGTTGACAAGGTAGTAATGAAAAGAAGCACTGGATGAATGCTGTGGAGGATTCCATTTTAAATGTATTTCTGTAGATGAAACATATGTAGCCTCTAACTTCTGGGAGTACAATGGCCCTATTGAATAAGATTAGGAATAGAAAAAAGACAATAGTTACTCATGCCTTTCACCAATAACTGTGGGATATTTTAGGGGTCTTTTTGCTTGTTTGTTTCTTTGTTTCTTTTAAATAGAGCCTGAAAACCTCACAATACACACACACAGACTCAAGATTATTAGAGCAAATCTAACAAGGCAACCTTGACAGTGTATCAGTGACAGTGAATATTGACACATAGAGAATACTCCTACTCTCTAATTGAGGTTTTTTCTGAATCACTTAGATCTTCATGTAGAACTCAGTCTCTCAATTTAGGTCATCTCTTATATTTCAGTCAGTTCCGAAATATCGTCTAAGACAAATGGTATGCATTACCCAAGTTCATGGAATCATAGAATCATAGAGTGGTTTGGTTTGGGAGGGACTTAAAGATCATCTAGTTCTAACCCCCCTTACATGGGCAGGATCGCCTTCCGCTAGACCAGATTACTCAAAGTTCCGTCAAGACCAGCCTGGTCTTGAACACCTCAAATGATGGAGAGTCCTCAACCTCTCTGGACAACCAGTTCCAGTGCCTCACCACTGTTTCTTCCTATTATCCAATCTAAACCCACCCTCCTTCAACTTAAGGCCATTCCTCCTTGTCCTATCACTACATGCCCTCACAGAAAGTCCCTCTCCAGCTCTCTTGTAGGCTCCCTTTAGGCACTGGAAGGTGCTAAAAGGTCTCCCTGGAGCTTTCTCTTCCCCAGGCTGACAGCCCCAATTCTCTGTTAGGGCCTGTCTCCACAGGAGGGGTGCTCCAGCCCTCTGATTAACGTAGTGGCTCTCCTCTGGACTCATTCCAACAGGTCAGTATCTTTCCTGTGCTGGGAGCCCCAGGCCAGGACGCAGTATTCCAGGTGGGGTCTCTCACAAGAGCAGAGTTGAGGGGCAGAGTCAGCTCCTCTGATATGCTGGCCACTCTTTTTTTGATGCAATCCAGGATGCAGTTGGCTTTCTGGGCTGCAAGTGCACATCGCAAAGTCATATTGAGCTTTTCATCCACAAAGACCCCCCAGTCTTTCTGCCCAGGGCTAGTCTTGATCCATTCTCTGCCCAGCCTGTATTTGTGCTTGGGATTGCCCCAACCCAGGTGCAGAACCTTGCCCTTGGCCTTGTTGAGCTTCACTAAGTTCACACAAGCCCACCTCTTATAGTTTTTTCGCATAGGAGAAAGCAGGAATATATTTCCTTCATTATAGAGGCAACTTGTGTTACAAGGTCTTTTAAACAGAAACCGAACAATCAGATTATAGAGAAGAGAGTTTGGTAGGCACAGGATATGACAGAACTTCCAAGTGCACTAAAGCCCAGAGGAGGAAGTGAACTGTACAAAACATATATGATGGAGAAAAAGAATAGCTTCTTTTACCTAAAGATTAACCTGTATTTTATTCTAACTCTAAGAAAATAGACCTCTGTCTATATTTGGACTGCCTTGCCAGGACCGGTAAAAACATTAGGGCAGTATGTTTTCTTTAACTTCTGAAAATGAGAAAACTTCCCCAGCATCACTGAAACAGGACATCTCCACTTGATCACCTTTAGGTGAAAAGGCATTTTTCATCTCTACCAACTGGTAGGTTTCATTTGGCTTCATTCAGCTAGACTTTACCAGAATACAAGTTAATTGTGAATGAATTTTACTTAGGACATATTGCATCACACAGCAGGTCAAAATACAATGGATTTTTAAACCATAGAGATCATCTTAATCTTAACTGCAGATAAACAGGGATACCTCTGCTTGTTCTGACATAATCTTTTACTTCAGATTTGAAAATACGTTTCTGAATTTCACCACCATGGCCAAAAAATACTTTACTGCTACTCTGACATCCAGCTTTACCTTTGGACATCAGTAGAAACTCTGTGAGTAAAATTATTGTAATAATGAGATTTTAAAATATACTTCACTGAAACAGAATTTGTATGGCTTTGTTCTTGCAGCCACTGAAAACTCTGAGCTTCTCTTAATCAATCCCAAGAAAGGATTTTAGCACAAACCTAAATGAAGTTTTTGGAATCCACTCTACAAACTGTTAATATTGGATCAGAATTCATGTTCAGATTTACTTATGTTTTCAGACAAAATATCAACACAGGAATTTGTTTAATTAAAGGAAAAAAGTGTAAAAAGTGTATGATTATCTGGTTATTACTGCTGTTTATTTTTGTTACTTACTTGTTTCTACCTTCAGTATTGGACTTAAGATACACTGTGCTCCTTCTGAGTTCCTTGCTGCTAATAAAAAACTATAGTGAAGGCCAGGAGACAAGTGCACAATTTTTGTTTGAGTTGTATTCACAGGCAAGTTCAGAATGTATGATTTCCACTGATCAAAATAGTACTTGATTATAAGTGCAAAGCCTGACTTAAGCCACATGCCCATATCACTCCACATAAATACAGCTTCAGTTGTCTTGACATCATGCACACCAAACATGATGTTTTCTGGTACCAAAGGTACTGAAAAAGAAAAGCAAAAGTGAAAAAAAATTCATTAAAACCTTTTTTTTAAATATATTTGTATCTTCAAATACAAATGCAATCAGGGGAAGGTTTTTTAAAACAAATGCAAAAGATTGAAAAATTATAGTTACATTCATATTCACAAATATATGGCAGCTGTACATAGCAGAAAAATCCTGTGAAGAAATAATCTGGACCAGTAGGATCTCTCTGAAGGGCATAGCAGTCAGTTTGGTTTTCTGGTATCATTGCCAAAGATGAGATACCAGCTTTTAGAAGATAAGGAGATCCATCTGTCCACAAGAGCTGACCTTCTTCCTGGATTAAAAAAAAACATTAGAAAAACATGTATTTTTAGATTATAATGATGAATTATTAAGGTTTCCCTCATTGCAAGCATATTTCCTAAACATACAAAACTTACATACTTCATTTATACAAATTAATTATATAGGAATAAAGTAAATGCTTCAGTGTAAAATTCTATTTCTTCTATTACAAAAAAATTACAAGATAATAACATAACATAATATAAGCCACATGAGTATATTTCATCATTACAAACAAGCCTTTAAAAATCACTATTAATCAAATAATTTAATAATCGTTTATGGATAATTGTCTAAAAATGTCATTCACTTTAAAAAAAAAACAAAACACCAAAAAATAATCATAAATCCTGTCTGAAAGCAAAAATATTTAGCTGAAAAAAAAGCATGGCTAGATTCACAACTGGATGAGAAAATGCTATCTTTCCCCTTTTTCCTGTTTGCTGGTTGCTCAGCGTTTAGGACACACTCACACCTCCCTCCAAGTTTCTTACCTTTGAGGTACTTTCAGTTTTTCTAGCAGAGCTCTACAGGTACTAGACTGGGGCAACATGATATTTTGGAGGAAAGATGCTTGTAGAATATGCTTACAGCATTGCAATGCAGATCCCTCTAGTGGGAGACAGGTTTCAGTCTGCACTGCACTAACATATAGTAACATCTACAGGGGATTAATAGAAAACCCAGCACATTTCTGCATGGCATTGGGGCACTCTCAGGCAGTAAACTTGCATAAAGTGCTTTCAGGCATAGCAAGTCCGTGGTCCTACAGCCTAAATAAATGCTTTAAGTACTGTAATGGAGAAAAGTTGAGGTACCACCAATCATCTTCTGTTGTTTACTCTTTTATTAAAGATATTCAAAAGTGGGGAGGAGGAGGAGAAAAAAGGATTTTTTCCATTGCTCTGAGAAAACAATAAAAACTCATGTTTGTTGAGACTGAGACTATTTTTTCAATTAATTTGTTGTATTGAAAAAAAAATCAAATTAAATATTGTGATATCATTCATTTCCCCAGGAGAGCAAAGATTTTCAGTGGTATGAAATAATTCAATTTGATTTTCAGGAGGACTTGTGGGTATACTCTGCCATTTCAGAAATGCTATATGGATCAAAATTTTTTTATACTGGTCTTCTTGGTCACCGGAGTTAACAAGCACAGGAAATCACAAGATACTACTATGATGCAAACCTCTGCAGCAAGGTTTGTAAGAGAAACCTCAGTGAACAATCTTTGGCTACCTTTACCACTTCCTAGCTCTGAAGAACTGCACAACATGTCAGGAGGGACATGAAGCTACCACCAAAGCATTCCATTCATTCTTATCCAGAGCAAAGACCTGCATCTCCAGGGTCTCTGTTGCTTTTCACAAGAATGTTCAGCCTCATCAGGAATGGTTTTAATTCAGATACAGATCAAAGTAGGGTTAAAGAAGGAGACACTGTGAGAATACAAATGCTACAGAACTAATGTTGCTCACAACAATGTTGTCACTCATTTTTATCAGTATCACAGTGCTTGGTAGTCTTCTTAAGGCTGCTGAAATCTTCTGAGTAGGTTATAGTCTCAACTTCTTCTCATTAAATATTTCAAGTCCCATGGGCATTTAGTGAGAAAAACACTTGAAAACAGAAATTTAACTCCCTAGTGCTTCAAATATGAATGAGAAAGCAAAAATAATTTAATCCGTACTTTTTATCTCAGGTTTTAAACAAATCCTGCAACTCCTGGTGTATGTCCCATGATCTTTGAGCTCCTGAGGTAAGTACAATTTGCTGCAAGTACAATTTAGAGTTCTCACAAAATGAGAACAAATCACAACAAAGAATGAAACGTTAATCCAGTACTTGAACACATTAATTAAGTATAAATAATTAGGAAAGAAGTGTTCGGAAAACAAGCATTTTATTATTATCCCTTGCTATTCTTAAGTCATGGTACTCATCTAGTTTATTTAACTGACTGACTCCCTCAAACATAAAAATGCATTTAATTATTAAACAGTTGACTAACAGTCAAATTCCAAACTGGCAATTAACTTTTTTCTGTGCAGAGTTAAAACCCCCCAAATTTCTAGTACTCTTTCCAACACACCAAAATATTATACTTCCATGGGACATCTATTTCTGGCAGCCACTTACAAATACCTATATTGCTAAAATACCAAGTTGGTTATGATGAATATCACCATGGTGTAAAAATTACAACCATTTGAGAAGTGACTCTACAGTGTCATATACAAAATAATATTACATGTAAAATGCATATATTAATAGCGCTTTACTAACCAGGATGGTCAGAGTGCTTCTCTAACCACAAACCTAGACAGATTTGTGTTTCTTCAGTCTGTATGTTATCCCACTCTGACTTGTTTGTGTAGCCCCAGCCAGCAAAAAATACTTTTTCTGTCTTTGAGGTGGTATGACACCTACCACTCCTGCTCTTACACATAAAGCTTGCTTTGGTTTTACTGTTTTCACAGCATTTCTTTTAAAATAATTTGATCAAAACAATATTAAAATTAAATTTCAAAGTGCAGATTTTTTAAACCGAAAAACAGTGGCTTTCTCCCAACCTCCTGATACTTAAAAGAAATTTTCACTAAACCAAATTACAGAAGACTGGATCCCACTTTTCTGGCAAATGCCTCCATCTTTCTAAACATCTTTCTAAACACTTTCCCAATATTTTTATTTATGTCTGTAGCTGATCCCAAATCAAACCACCATCAGACACCACACCACGGTAAATCATATTGTAACAGCAGATGCAGCATTAAGAACCTTCATATCTCAAATATGAGGAACAGGAAACCTTTTACAAGAAATACCTTGCTCCGATTCCTTCTCCACTGGCCTATCCAGCATCTATACTGGATTGACCTCCCTAAGCTCAACACTCAGCACTTCAGACCTGCATCAAAACTGAGTAAGCCAAGCCCGGACTTTGATAACCATGGTAAGTAACATTTGTGTAGACTAAGATTTAAAATCTGGTAATACAGTACCACCCACAAAACAATATCCCAGGGAAATATATACACACACACACACAAAAACAGAGAAAAGTTAAACAGGTTATGTATAAATTATGTGGTTTTTTCCACAGCTATTTTCAGTATTTCTAAACAGGAAGAAATAATCATTCCTCTTCTCATTACTAATAACTATACAAACAAATAACTGATGTACTGTTTAGCAATTTTTATTCCAAACAATCAGGCTCTACATATCAAAATGTTCTTGCTTCCATATGTGTAATAGGAAAGAAGATAAAATAGACTGACCTTTAAGTCATTAAGACCTGTCCATATCATGATTATTCGACTAATTTTCTGGAGATATGACAACATAAAACCATATTCTTCTTCACTCCCTATGTCAAGAAGATGTGCCCCTCGTGAAGACGTTTCACAGGTTTGTTGTGCTGATTTCCATGGCTTGCTCTCCTTACCCATTCGATAGCAGCTGCTTTGGAATGCCACCCACCCTTGGGAACAGGTGCCTATAGGTGAAGGACAAGATTTTAAAGAGATGCTGTATCATTCGTGTCAGTGGTACAGTGCAAGATTTCTTATAATTACACATTTTGATGACAATAGCACTTAATTAATTCATGATTTCAACCCCCCAAATATTCAGTAATTATGATTCAACAGTCCTTCAAAGTCCTGAATGTCTTAAAAAATCTGATTGACTGAATTAGAAGAATATCAACTACAAGCCAGTGAAGGGGAAAAAAAAAGAAAGAAAGAAAAAAAGATATCCACTAATTTTCAATCCTACTCCAGAAAAAATGTCATTCTTTAAGCTTAGTTTCCGATGGTTCATTTTTTTAAACATTAAAAATGAAGTTAACAAATAACCTGTTTTTAATAGCTTCCTGAGTTTAGGAAAATAATTATTCCCTTGACTTTGAGTGTATATTATTCTTTCTTTTTCTAATTTTAAAGATTTTAAGTTGCATTATCAGAGTAGCACGTTTAAAATTACATTAAAATTATACAACTAAGGCGTAACATCCTCAGAATCCTGCCTCTTTTACAGCACTTCTAACAAAACAGCACAGCTAGGCTAGCCATTCAGCAGTATTTTGAATGTTGTAAAAAGTGTTCCAAATGCTTATCAAATTCAGGATTTTCGTTGCTTTTTCCTTGAAATTATGTAGCAAATTCAATACATACACTCAAATAATTACAATTCTTAACTTCAACATTGCCTTGACTCTATTTTATACTGCAAAAATATATTTAGCTTAAAATATTTGCACATAAAAATCCAAATTATTCCTACTAAAAATACTAAGAAATAGTAAGTAGAAACAACTTTACTCTTAACTTATCTAGAAAATGTGTAGTACTAACTTGCATTGATTGTGACTACAAGAAACTCTAATATATACCTGTTTCGACTTGAACATCCAGTGACTGAGACACATTTACAAATTCAAGATGTAATTGCTCAAATAAAAACTTGAATGTATATAAGGTGGCAGGTGTCAAATTTCTCCATACAAAGAATCCACTGGGTCTTTTTATGATCTCAGAAGTACCACTCAGTAAAACAGAAACTGAAAATTCTTTGGTCACCATACTCCAATTAAAAGACACTGAAGTAGCTGTTACAAATGTTTTTATGTAATTTTCTGAAATTCCACCTAGTATAACAAGAAAAAATAGACACTATCTTTACGACAAAGGAATAATTAACTCAGAGTTCCATTAACATTATTATGTTTTTCTTTTGAGAAGAGATGAGTGATACACACAGTAGGGAAAGAAAGGTTGTGTCATTTAAAAAGTCATGGTTTAATTATTGTCATGGTACGTAAACTTACGTCTGAAGCAAAAAGAAATAAAAGTGCACAAGTTTAAGGAGTGTTTAGCTGTAAAAGTACATACTTTGATAGAATAGCAGTTAAGTAATAGATGTCCAGGGCAGTAACACATTAGTAGCATAACCATGAACCATTTTCTGTAACTTGCTGAATGTACTTTCAGCATTCAACGGCTGCTGCAATGTTTTCAACTGTGTATTTTTCCAAACTATGTTGTTTCTATTCATATCCTAGTCTGTATTCCAAAGCTAGTGTGAGCTTGTAATGTGTACAAAGGTAATGCTATAAACTATTTTAATTAATAAAATTAAGATTAGAAAGGCCTTTCACTTTAGTAATTGGTGGGACTTATGGTCCTAAACAGATTTACAGCTGTAGAGGACATTTTTATAAGCTCAGTGACCAGACTCACAAATTCTTATACTAAAAGTCTGTTCCAGTGAGTCACAATGCTAAGGCCTTCAAGCTACTAATTAACCCTTTTTAAAGTGGGAATGTCATGAAGCAAAACCAAAAATATTTAAACTTTTTAAGTTATAAAAGAAAAAAGGTCACAACCCTATGTTGATATGAAATTGCCAGGCTTTAAGTAACCTTCTCCATGGTCTTCTTTTATAAATCTTTTCTCCTAGAATTACTGTAGCATAGCAAAACTATGGTATTTAAAAGTCTCATTAACTTTTACATCAGTCCCATATTTCAGAATTGCTACACTAAACAAATATGTTATATGAAATTATTCCTACTATGCCTCATGGTTGAAAATATACATAAATTCAAAGTTTCTAAATACATGACTAACCTCTAGATTTAAACCCCTGCTTCTCTAATCTTCAGTGTTAGATTAACTATAAAGATATCAATATATTTTTGTGCTACTCTACTTACGTGTTTTAAATGATTTTACACTTAAGATTTGGCCATTCTTTAGGGATTCTATTGTTATATCATACTTCTTATTTTCCTCAAGCAGAACTGTAGTACTGACAGGTTCCTGTTCAACTTTAGAAATGTTTCTGAAAATCTGCAAGTTAAAAGAATTTCTGAATATAGTGAAAGTAATAAAAATGCAATTCATAAATTATCTGAAATTTTTAAAAGCGTAGCTGATATTGCAGCATATCAAACTTAAGACTTCATTTAAACCGAAAAATACCAAATATTTAAAACAAAACCTTTTAGAAATACCACTATTAACAAACACCTTCATATTGAAATCCTCTTATTTTCTTTATGGTCCAGAACATCCTGTACTCAAAATAAGAACAACACCCTCCCACAGAAAGGTAGGAGTAGTGTCTGTGCCTCTCCTGGAGAAGTTAGACTCCTCATTCAAAGAGTTTTGATCTTGCATATCCTTCATTTTGAACATATGCTTATCTATTCTTATTCAACAGAATACTTGAAGGTCTTTTAAGTTCCACTGGTTTAAGGAGGACTCTGTAAGAGTGCACACAAACAACATGAATTACAAAATTCAGTAAAATTTTTTGAAACTTTCTCTTTATTTGCTATTTTGAATTAGAAAAAAAAGCAAACACAATGCTACTAGTTACTATTATTTACAGCTTAAAAACACATGGAACTACTCAGTGCTTAGACTGATGAAATTTACTTTTTGACTGAAAGCATCTGTTTGCTGGCATGTTACAATATAGTAGTCTGGATCCTCCCCTTTGGGCAATTCAGTCCACTCCATCAAAACTGCTCTAGCAGGCTTTTTCCCTTGGTCACAGTCGAGACACTCTGAACCCTGTAACATACAGGAATGCAACTTAGTAGAAAATGCAGAAAATGTACCTCTAACTAAATAATTAAATTCTGTCAATTTTAACTAGTTTTAACTATAGCTTTTCAGCTGGCAACAGTTTTTATACGGACCAGTATCACCAGCCCTACTGTGTGATATACAGAGGCTTCATAATTTTTTACAAGTTCTGCAGGTACAGGTTCTAGTTTTCTTTCTCTCTCTAGAGGTGGCCAAACCATGTCGGTTGACCCAAATATGAAAGAAATCTGTCATCATTTTAGAAACAAGGTCAGAGATTTCACTTGCAATGTACATGCTGTAATCACAACAGTCAGGAGCTGGAGGTCTCAGTCCTATTCTTCCATTATGCATTAAAGACTTTAGTGGCATCACTTTCACAATTTTCAAATGTCTCAGAATAAGAAAAAACAATGTACAAGACGTAAAGAAATAATTTATTAAGCACACACCTCCCTACCAATCCAATTTAGCCATGGCAAACTTCATTCTATTTTGGCCACAACAGCCCCATGCAGTGCTACAGGCTGGGGACAGAATGGCTGGAGAGCAGCCAGGCAGAGAGGGACCTGGGGGTTCTGATTGACAGCAGGCTGAACATAAACCAGCAGTGTGCCCAGGTGGCCAAGAAAGCAAATGGCATCCTGGTCTTATCAGGAACAGTGTGGTCAGCAGGACCAGGGAAGTAATTCTGCCTCTGTACTCAGCACTGGTGAGGCCACACCTGGAGTACTGTGTCCAGTTCTGGGCCCCTCAGTTTAGGAAGGATGTTGAGGTGCTGGAGTGAGTCAAAAAAAGGGCAACAAGGCTGGTGAAGGGACTGGAGTCCTACGAGGAGAGGCTGAGGGAGCTGGGGTTGTTCAGGCTGGAGAAGAGGAGGCTCAGGGGAGACCTTATCACTCTCTACAACTACCTGAAAGGAGGTTGTAGCCAGGTGGGGGTCAGGTTCTTCTCCCAGGCAACCAGCAATAGGACAAGGGGGCACAGTCTTAAGACTGGATGTGGCACTTAGTGCCATGGTCTAGTTGACATGGTGGTTTTGGGTCATAGGTTGGACTTGACGATCTCAGAGGTCTTTTCCAACCTAAGTGATTTTGTGATTCTGTTTCAAATTCTTACAGAGGTCAACTCATTCTAGACAAAAGTCTTCTGTATTTTTGATACTACCTTTTTGATAACTTTACCTGCCTTTGAAAGACTTTGGATTAACATATCAGAGAATCAGGTTCCTTCTCTATTTGAATTTCATTTGGAATCAGAAACTTATGGACTTTTACCTAATATAATCTGAATCACACCTCTCAAATTCAGATAAAGTGGTGCATGTGATGCCAATCCCTATCACATAACATTTATAAAAGATGCAGTTCTGTCTTTTAAGTTCCATTTTTAGTTTCTTTATGAATTGAGATGACAAATGCCATCATTTAGCAATGAACTCAAAATCCAGTTCAAAAAAACTAAACAGAAATAAAAATTAAACAGGAACCCCTAGGACACTAAAATAAAAGTTGGGTGTTTTATTACTGTATTACTTTGTGTTGTCCTGTAAAGTAATCTTCGATGCACAACCTCCCACCCCACAAACAAAACAAACAAACAAAAAACCCACACATATAAAAAGCAAAAACATTCCGTTTTTTCTTTTTTTTTTAAATACAACACACTCTGGAATTCAGCTTAGCTTACCATAACTTCCTTTAACTAATGACAAACTAACATAACTATAAATCTATCAAGATTTAGTGTTCAGTTTGGATTATACTTTTTGAAGTATATACTTTAAAAAGGTCATAAAGCCTTTAACTTCTATAAATTCTTTAGAAGAGTTTACATAAAACCACTGGGATGAACTGACACACTAGACTAGTATTGATGGCATACACACAAGTGTTTTGAAGAACATTTTTCTCGAAAAGTTGCAGGCTTTTAATTAATGGCTGTATATCTGACTTGCATTCCCTGTAAACAATCTATAAACAGAGAATCCAGAGGGTAGGAAAATCTGTTTTTAAAGATACAAAAATATATATTTGGCAATAATTGAATTAACCATTTAAAATAATTTTCCACCATCAGCAATAATGTATGCCATTTTACTGTACACAAATAAAACCTCCTTAGACCTAAAAGACAAGAACCATATTTTCAAGCGTACGCAGAGATTGTTCCATACTTATATCCAATGAGAGGGATTTATAAAGTCCCTTTTTGTTTTCAGCACCTTGTCAGTAATTTTTAGGCCCTTGTTCAAAGACTGCAGCAATTTAAAAAAGAAAAAAAAATATTATTAAATTGAGCTCAAATACCTAAGGTTCAAATCTATTTTCAGGTTAGCTACACATCAGCCAGGAGACCTAAAAAAACCCAAAACAGTTATTGACTTCTGCTATCGACTACTCAACACAAGACTCAAGTAGGCTTCTCAGTCTGAAAAAGAGGTACTTGAGGGAAAATACAGCAGAGGTCTTAAGTAGCCAGAATTGAGCAGAGACTGATTTTCATTTGCTCTTCAAGTATAAGCACTGTGAAGGATGAAGAAGAGCTGGTATGCTATAGATTCAAAGTAAACAACAACAAAAAAGGCAGTTCTTCACAAAATAAATAGTTTATCTGACAAAGCTAAAGCAAGTAATAAAAGTTTCAAGGGGTGTCAGAGAAGGTCCATTCATGTTCATAGAAGTTCATAGAACTGAAATACATTGAAGCTCACAAAATGCACTGCAAATACATCCATTTCAAGAAGTCCTTAAGCTACAAATTGTGAGAAACTAAAACAATATAGATAATTCTCATTTGATGTTCTTACAGTCCTCCCCAAAGATCTGCTTTTTACCACTATCAGAGGTATATTATGGAACTCACTGAAGTTTTTACTTCACCCCATACCTGTTTAAAAGGTTACTTAAAGATGTTACTTCTTCTGGGGAAAAACATTAAATCCAAAGCAACAGGAAATAAAAGAGACTAAGGATCTCAAAAGAGCTTCCCACAACTTAAATAGAAGGAAGACTGGGAATGTTCAGTAGCACTAATGAGAGCCCTCTGTGACTGCTAAAACAACAGGAAAAAAAACAGTCCAAATCACAAACCACTTATTTTCAACATTCAATTAGCATAGCTATTCACCTTCAAAACACAGAGTATTTTTCTTACCTTAAATAAACATTTTAATAAAAGCAGAAGAAGAATTGTTTGATCCATAGAGAAAGAAATGTTATAGTCCCAGTGTTTCTGAAGTGCTTGAATCACCACAGCTTCAAAGCAAAATCATGTTAGAATATCTAAGGGAATAGGGGAAAAACGAATACACATATTTATACTTCACATGGATACAGCACCAGCCAATGGTGGGTCCGAGACTTGTGTGTTTGCTCTGGCCCTGCCTTTTCCCAAGCCCCATATAAAGTTTTCTGAGATCAGAAAGCCTTCTTTTAACTTCACTGAACTGTGGATGTGACTGTTGTTTGTAGTAATTTAAAAACTACTCAGTGTAAAAAATGTCATTGTTTTTTTAGTTTCTATTTGATTACCAGATCAAAATTCATTAAAATCAGTGTAACCCCTTACTTACTTTTTTCCAGACTCTGATTGTTTTCTACAGTACACATTTCTAGCCAGATGCCCCTTTGTCAGTGTTTAAAATAAGCCTTAAAACACTTTTCTATTGAAAGAACTAAGCACAGCTGCAGAGCCCATTGATATGTATTATGATCTTACAGAGGTCTTACAAAAAGTTACCAGCATAAAAATCTATAAACAAAGAATAGGCAAGAATGTATAGTGGTAGGACCACTGATCTATTTTACTGATCTATTCAGGCTCCTGAACAAGAACTCAGCTCAGAAAAATATATTGGGTGATCTCTGCCTTTGGCCAGATCTCAAGCAGCAATTTCAGAGTTAAACCTACCTCAATATAATTCCCAGTGCCTTAACCCTCCCCAAATTAACCTTTTAAATAGAAAATTAGTTTTGCACTGTGTTCTTTGAAATTAAATTAGCTTAATAATCTGATAAAAATTGTTTACTAATTATAGAATAAATAAAAATCAGTGCCACTGCATATATGTACCATAAAAATGAGAAACACTCATATAATTTACTGTGTATTTTCTTAGATGCTATCATCACATCATATTTCTACATTGAGATAGCGTCTTGTTTTTCAGTGGGTTGTTCCTGATTTTTACTAAAACTGTATCCAACTGAACTGTGAATTGTGAGATAAGGAATACAATTTTTAACTAAAGCTTTATTGAGAACTTGTAGTAAATAAGGCAGGCTTACTCTCACCAGAAAAATACCATTTTGGAGCTTTTATGTTACCCTGGCTCAAGAACACACATAGTAAATCAAAAGCTGCCGCAATGAAACCCCTGATCTCAAAACACTGAGTCAATCTCCCTCCCTGAGAAGCACACACATACAGGGCACACACGAGTGTAATCACCTGAGTGCTATTTTAGCTATCAATGACAAAAGTTAGCTGCTGCCTATTCAGCTGTTTTGTAAAGCGGACATACTCATTTTTTCCCAGAAAATTTGTAGATATTGAGCACAAAGGGAGGCTTTATTAACTAAGCAATTTTCAAGACACCAGCAGAAGCACTCTCTGCATTAACCTCACCATGTGTGTGCGTGCACATTCCACCTTAATCAAAAGAACATTCCCCAAAACACAAACACTCCCTTTTATTCAGCATTTCTAGTGATTAAGTTTTAACATCATTCACTATTCGTTTTCTCCAGAATGCAACATCAGTACAAAAGCATTTCTTCAAGTTCTCTTATACAAAAACTACTTGTGAAAGTAGAAACTACATGTATAAGACATTTCTTCAGACTACCTCCTTGCAGTGAGATTCTCAAATCTTGGATCTTAGGGAATATTTTACCACCGATTTCAATAGGTATATGACCACCTATTTGGTCTATATGTAGAATTATTTTTCCAAATAGGTAAAAATTACAGTTCTATGTGGCTGCTAAGATCTGGTCAATGTATCGTATTTGCAGTTGCTACAGTTCATTGTCCTTCAGCTCTGAATATGCCTTTCCACCCTAAGCTGTAGTGACCTGCTAATGATAATGGATAGATAATTTCTAAGTTTCCTTGTTTTATAGGTAGCTTGCACATTCCACTTCGCACTTAAAGAAAGGTTAGAGAAAATTTAGTACACGATGTTATGTACAGACCCTCTCAAACATAACCTTTTTTT